TAGTTCTATTATTTGTCTGTATCTGAAAATTCCTTTTAAATATAAACGTGTCACAGCAATGGTTCACATATTTACCTGCTCTGGGATTGTTTAGGTGTTTGTCAGGATGACATGCCAAAGCTCGGATCTTGTATTCATTGTTAATCTGTTCAGTCTGCAAGGAAAGAGGTCACATTAAAAAAAAACGAGTTTTTGCCAATCTAAATATTTGAAATTCAGGAATCAGTCACTTATTAGGTTTTCAGGGGACATCACTCACTGTGGTAAAACACATTAGAATGTACGCACATATATCTGTGAGGCCACAAAACAAAATCAATACATGTCAGGGCAATATAGACACTGATTTTCTGAAAATTTTATTTTTTATGTTACTTTGAAAATGATATTGATCGATGCTGATCTTGTATTTAGAGACGGACAGATGCATAGCTTATTCCTGCTATGACGCAAGCACTGCTTTTAGTGCTACAGGCAAGGTAAGCATTACTCATGCAACGTGATGTTGCCATTATAGTCAGGCTACTCGACTGGTAATTCTGGTGTTTCCATCATGTTACCATGTTGAAGAATGAATTATTAAGTACTAAATGCTGTAAAAAAAATAAAAATACGAAACAGGCACTTTATGACGCACGACTAGTTCCTCTGACATCTTTTTGCTGAAGCTTCAACAGGTCTCTGTTGGATCAGACTAACCTCTGGAGCATATATAATTCAATACTCTTTAGGTTTACAGGTGGCTGATATGTTGCGTACATCCAGCATTCTGCGTCATCTTTAACTTCTGAATTCTTCAATCAGTAACCTGATGTTCTGGTTTGTAGATGCAAACAACTCCTATTTCACTCGACAAATAGGCTGATCCTTAAACCCACAGGCAAGAACTTACCGACGACAATTCATCACATCCTAACAACCCGTAGTAATCCTCCAGGTCCTCTGGTTTGCTGTTCCAAATAGTCTCCATATAAATCTGTTTTGAAATGTGTATGGTCTCTTGTCACGGAGCTGCTTGACTGTCTGCTGTCCTGGTTCACAGATGTTCGGTTCAAGCCTTTCTGATAGTCTCGCTGCAGCTGTGGTTCAGTCACTAAAATATGTTCAAAGTTTATCTTTTTTTTATTTTACCAGCTAGCTTCTAGTAAGCAATGGGAAACGGCCTACTGGTTGTCGAGGGAGATCTCTCTTGAGTTGTGCAGACAATTCAACGGTCCGTTTTCACCACATGACGCATGCTGCATTCAGGTGTCTAAGCTACAGCTCCACACTCAGCTCGAAGTTTAGACAATTCATGGAGGCGAGGTATTAAGGCAAAAGCAGCTTTCAAAATTAAAAAACACAATAATCAACTCTGTATAAAATCATGTTTTTGGCGACTGGGCTACTTATCATGTGGTATAAAGTATGTGGCCACATTAAATGGATGAGTGTGCAGGAGGCATTGAGATTGTTATTAAAATATAAACATATTCATGTAATACGAAAGCTATATAATATTTTTACTGACAAAGCTTATATGCTATTATTTAAATACCTTAAATACCTTATTATTAGTTTTGACGTCTATGCATTATTCACAACTTTGTTCGGCCATGAGTACTTCACAATTACTCTGACAGTGTTTGAAGGCAGCAATATTTTGTTGTGGTTTACGTCATAGACGTAAAAGGGGGACGTTCCAGCCGTGTCGACTGGTGGAGAATAAGTCACGTGCGCAATGCAAATGAGACAGCTGTCCGAGAGGAAGGATCTGCTCAGCGGCTCTGCGGGCTGAAGATGGCGGACGGAGAGACTAGTCTCGGAATGGCCTTTTCAGGCGCATCCGATATGGAAGAACCTGCCGCAAAAAGGTCTAAAATCAGCCCGGTAAAGAAATACGGATTCAAAGTCGCTCAAGAGGGCCTATCCTCGTGTGTCTCTGGGGCCAAAGAGAGCCGGGAGGCGGCGATGAATTGTACGCAAACAGCGGAGACGGAAGCGAAGCCGGCGATGGCGGTAGAGCAGGCCCCAGCGGCGCTAGGCGGAGACAACAATGGACTGGGACTGCTGGTCTCCGAGCCGCACAAACCAGTCGTGAAGCTAGACGACAGCGCGGTACTCGGGACGACGGAGGAGAGCGCTGGTATGTGAAGAGACGGACGTTTAACAAAGCTTCACGTAGTTACGCGACTTACTGTGGGACAATGCTTGTTTTACCAACTTAGCAGTTAAACCGGCGTGTTTGAAACAGAATATAACGTTAACGTTAATTAACGTGACATTCTGGGTAACGGTAAACACAGTGTGTTTGTTGAACGTGTGGGCGTTGAACTTCAGAGAGGCGGAAGTTAACGTTACTTCTCAAGACTGCAACTTTAACTTTTCCGTAGTTGACGCTAAACATGAAAGAGAAAACTGTCCGTGAAGCGTCATGTGGGGATTTCACGACGCTGTTTTATTTCCTTCACTAAACTTTTGATTGACACTTAGCATTCTTTAGCCGGGTGACGTTACATCTCCGTCCCTTAACGAGGCTGTTAACCATGGGTATGGGTTGTAAATGAGCATCGTGATTATTAGTGATAGCCTCCACGTATCTCTAGTTGTATTTATTCATTTGACAAACTTCTCTGTAATCAGATTTCCTCGGACATGACGATCTTCCCTCCAACGGTCTGGCCGTCACGCCGGACCACATCATCAACGACGACGACGACAGGTCGTCACACGCGAGCTCCAGTGACTGGGCACCTCGACCGCAAATAGGTAACTGGTTGGGAGAATTTGAGTAGCATTTGACAAAAAAAAAAACTTTGCTTGAAGCTGCTTTAATTACTCCTCTGATTTGATATACTTTGTAAGAAGAAAATAGTTAATACTATCATTTACATTGTAGTACTGAGTTGTTGTGTTCTCGGCCAGGCTCCTACAGTTTCATCCAGCAACACATCAGAGACACAGACCCGAGGACCATTCTGAGGGATCTGCTGCCCGAGACTGTCCTCCCTCCAGATTTAGATGACATGACACTGTGGCAGATTATCATCAACATCTCAGAACCTCCGAAAAGAAAGAAGCGGAAGGATATTAACACCTTAGAAGATGTGGTCAGGCTACTCCATGAAAGTAAAAGGATCCTTGTGCTGACTGGTGCTGGGGTATGCATTTACAGTCATATTTAACAGTTGTACTGTTTGAATTACTGTGTGTCTGAGTGAATACAGAGTACCAATGTTAATGCTATTCAGTCAGCATGCTTGTATTTTGTATTTTTGTTGTAGGTGTCAGTTTCGTGTGGAATACCAGATTTTCGCTCCAGAGATGGAATTTATGCACGGCTTGCTGTAGATTTTCCTGATCTTCCAGACCCTCAAGCTATGTTCGACATTGATTACTTCAGACGGGACCCGAGACCCTTTTTCAAGTTTGCTAAGGTTTGTTCATTGTGTCCACTTCAAATCAAATTTCATAACAATATAGAAAAATAAACAATTTAATCACCCTCCTAAGACCCCTTTGTGCCGAAAATGTCTTTGGTGTTTATTTTGTGTTTTAAATAATGACTCAGAACTTGTTTAAGACTTTGTAAAACATTCTCTGCAGAGACATATTCAAGGCTTTATTAAACTCAAGATCATACCGTAGCAAGCCTTGGAGTCAGTCCTCAAGAGTTGAATGCATCCTCTTTGTTACAGGAGATCTACCCGGGCCAGTTCCAGCCTTCACCCTGTCACAAATTCATATCTATGCTGGACAAGCAGGGGAAGCTGCTGCGCAATTACACACAAAATATTGATACATTAGAACAAGTGTCTGGAGTTAAGCGGATTATCCAGTGTCATGGTGAGTGATGCAGCTTATAGATGGATCTTTCTTATCTTTTATACATTTCTGTCCATGAGGATTGTGAAAGTCAACATTCATTTTTATTGCAGGGTCGTTTGCAACTGCTTCCTGTCTCGTCTGTCAAGACCAAATGGGTTGTGAAGCTATAAGGGAAGACATCTTTAACCAGGTATTTATTCATTACAAACTGTTCCAAGATAACACAGTCACATGCACTGCTGGACACTAGTGGATACACTACGTATTAAGCAAAACCTGCAACAATGGAAATCCATTGTTTCATGGTTATTGCATAAAACAAGCATCTTCCATTGTAGAATTTAAGGACCCAAGGAAGCTGACGTGAATACATTTTCAGTGTGAGAGATCTTGTACACTTTGTGTCAGAACTAGAGCTGGAGCGGTACCATTCCAGGAGTGGAGCAAAGCACCAGGAGGAGCAATTTGGAGTGAAACTAAAGATGAATTGATCCTTTTCACCACAGACATTTTGACTTGTCGAACAGGTGTAACCAACAACCATCTTTAATTGCTGCGTTGCGTTATTGGCTTAAAGGTAGAAATTGTTCATGTTATGAGCTCCATCTGCAATTCTCTGCAGTCAAAAGGGTCTTTGAAAAAAATAAATAAATAAACCTGCCGTTGGCAAGGCTGTCGAGATATAAGTTGGACATCCAAAATTTCAGATGGGGAGAAAAAGAAAATTGGTGCTCATTGCACTGTATGTTTATTATAAAAAAAAAAAAAACAACCATTGGGAATCATGTCGGTAGTATTTATAGTGCTTTGTTACTCGTAACTACAACATATTGTAAATCCATACTACTGTCATCAGTGTTGTCGACATGTACTGCAGTTAAAACACTTGAAAGCTTGAAAGCATCAATCAGTGAAATCAACTCTACAGTCAATTTTGCACACAGTTTACGTAGTGGTGGTGGTGGTGTATTGATAACAGTAAAAAGTTGTCTCATTAACATACTGCAAATAAGGCTTGTTCATCAAATTAGAAAAAAAACTATCAGATTGATGTTGCCGTAGTCATAAATACTGATCCCAGTCACTTCCACACAGTGAGGCATAGAGCTTATTAATTAAACACCGGTATTGCATCGGTACTGATGCCCAAAGCCCAGGTATCGTGTTGGTATTGAGACTGGAAAAAGTTGAATCAATGCAAGATTAAAATATCCATGGCCCTCCTTTAACAATATTTTGTTATAATGCTAACAACGTGAAATCATTCGGTAGGTTGTCCCTCGTTGTCGACGTTGTCCAGATATTCCCCTGGCGATCATGAAACCTGACATTGTCTTCTTCGGAGAGAATCTTCCAGAAATGTTCCACAGAGCCATGAAACAGGATAAGGACGAGGTGGACCTCTTGATCGTCATCGGCTCTTCACTTAAAGTCCGACCAGTTGCCCTCATCCCAAGTACGTTTGTCAGATGAATGGATGGATGGATGTATGTTTTCTGTAAGAATTACGCAATAGCCAATGTGTTTCTATTGTGCGTGTGTTTAACCCAAACATACAATACAAAACCTTTTCTTTTGCTCTACATCCCGTTCAGACTCCATTCCACATGAAGTGCCTCAGATCCTGATCAATAGGGAGCAGCTGCCTCATCTCAACTTTGACGTGGAGCTACTCGGCGACTGTGACGTCATTGTCAACGAGCTCTGTCATCGGTTGGGTGGAGACTTTGAGCAGCTCTGCTACAACATTGTAAGACTCACTGAGACCACAGAAAAGCCCCCCCGGCTACCAGAACAGCCACCGAGCGAGGCCTTGCCTGCTGTTGCTGATGCCGCTCAGGAGGAGCAGCAGCAGCACAGTACAGACTCTGTAACTAAGCCTTCAGAGGAGACGGAAAGTCTGAATGTCACAGACACTGCTGGTAACGATGTTCCACCTCCAGAGCCTTGTCCAAATGCTCAGTGTCCCAGCGAAGAGACGGCTGAGCCTTCAGAGTTGCCAGCAGAGGACGCGCCGAAAGAGGAGACCGCTGAAGTAAAGAGCCAAACCTCCAACCTTGAATTTCGGAGACGATGCTGGATGAGTCGAATCAACAGAAGTCCAATCAGCAAACGCCTTGAGAGTAAGTTTAGACTATGGTGGAGCGAACACTCTTTACTATAATTAACAAGTGTGTGTGTGTGTGTGTGTGTGTGTGTGTGTGTGTGTGTTTATTTTTATACATTATAATTTTATATTTTGATGTATTTGAAAGTGAGACAGCGGTGAGTTAAAACACAGTTGCTAACCATTCATCCCATTTAATTAGAGCTTCTTTTTTTTTCCCTTCATGCAGCCACAAAATGCATGTCAATCCAAAATAATTATAAATTCTGTTAAATCTTCTCCAGATACTGATTTCAGCTCTTGTAAACTTGTTTTGTATTGTTTCACACAGCAGGCCAGTACCTGTTCCAAGCACCAAATCACTATATCTTCCACGGGGCTGAGGTTTACTCCGACTCTGAAGACGAGACGTCGAGCTCCTGTGGGAGCGACAGTGACGAGTCCGAGTGCAGTGCAGATGGGGTTGAAGAAGAAGACGAAGACGACGACGACGACGACAGCGAGCCGGAAGACGCCGACACTCTAGCAGCGGAGGGAGAGACTTGTCTCAGAGACTCATTGCAACGCTCTTTAGCCAATGAGGCCGAGTCGAGTGTGCAGACAGACAGTACTTCTGAAAAGACGCGAAGCACCACACACCTTTAAATGTAAACGTACCCAGTCGACAAAGCACTACTTGTCTTTTTTTTTTTTATATATATATATATATACGTTTTGTATATTTTTGACTCATCAACCGTACTATTATTTTTCATAAAGTTGAAATTGCTTGACAACGGCAAGTTTTGTTTTCTGTGCCCAGTTTGGTCACGAGCATTGTCTGAAACATCATGCTGTAGACTACTTACTAATTAGAATGCAGTAGTCATTGTTTTTGGTTCAGACTTCTTTTCATGTGGTCGTCTCATTTTTATTCACATTTTGAGAAATTCTTCCGAGACGTCCACTGCAGCGTGCCGATAATGCAACACTAGATTAAGCTTTAATTCTTAAATTGCAGTCATTACAGGCAAAGACTTTGAATGTCTCAGTCCATGGTGTGAACTCTGCTGTGGTCTAATGATGTGTTTTACAGTTGCTTCATGTTCCAATTGGAAAACGTGTAAATATATACGCCTCCTGCCTGCTAAATAGGGGATACTATGAGTTTCAGACACGTACATAAATCTTTAGATGGTTTACTTGAACACATTGTCTAACTTGCAATATAAAAGTTCAGCGCTGCCCTTTCATTAAGGGTAAAAGCTAGAATTCAGAACAGTACTTTTTCATTTTAGACCAAAGAACGCTTTATCACCATGTTCCTACGTTGTCATAAGCTTTGTATGTTAAATATATAACTATTGAAAAGGTGTTCCTTCCGACATGTGGCAGCTACTTTTTTATGGTCAAGCCTCTTATTTTTATACTCTGTGAGACATATTCCTCCAAGAGTAGATGCTAGTTTATATCTGTACAAGGTTCTAAGTTGTATTATTAAACCGTAGGAATATATTCAATGAGTTTGAGTTCAAAAATGGCATCAAAGTGGTTTTATTGCCCATGTCACTTTTCATAGATTATAAAGTTAAAACATTCACTACACAGAGGATTCTACTGCCTGTAAAGATCACGTGTTGGTAGATGGACATATTTGAGTGAATGTAGTGGATAAAGGTAAACTCTAGCCAACATAATTAACATACCATCTACATTAAGGTCATATTTTGTTTACGGTATAAGGAAATAAGATTTTTTTTTTTTTTACATCTTTATAGGGGTTATCTCTTCTTGGGTTCTCAGTAAAAAAAAAAATGAAAAATGACTTTCTTTCTATTATTTCATGCACAACAGATCCAATCAATTCACATCAACATCCTCAAAGTGAAGGAGCGAGGCGAGAAAAGTGCGCCACCTAGCGTGTCAGAGTTCACCCTTACAGTTCCTCTTTTCACTTCATGTGGCTTTCTAATCGTGTAGAGTCGAAGGGTTTAAGAGAGACAACGACTGAGTTACATTTGTTAAATTGTTATATTCCAAGGAAAGTGTCTATAACAGCAATACAGTGCAACATTCAAGGTTTTAACTTCAGTAGGGTGCCAATAACGTCGGGGAGGGTAAACATGTAGTTAGTGGAATACCATTGTTAAACGCCCCGAGTTTGCGCATGCGTGGAATGGCAATATGAGGTGTCATTATAACCTGTAATTTCGCTGTAATATCTGGCTAGTCGTCAATATGTTGGCGGTCGGTGCATTCATATTTAGTCCTTGTGCACGGTCCAGTTGACTAACGTTACCATAAATAAAAGCTTAAGAACTTTATTTTAATTTAAGTCTTTGGAACTACATTTCCCAGTTTTCTTTCCCTCAGCTGTTCGGTGTTACGACGTGTCGTAAAAATGCTGTTAACAGCGAAACCGAGATGGACACCGCCAAAGACGCCTGACAGTTTTTGTCTTTATCCTTGATTTTTTGTCGTTATTCTTAAATGTTAAAATGTTTATACAGCACACAGGACCGCGGGTGTAAATGGAGGCCATGGAAGATGACAGTTTGGACCTAAAAGACGATCACAACCACAACTATTGTGCGAGCAGCAGCAGCAGCAGCAGCAGCAGCAGTAGTAAAGTCCGCACGTATCTGAGCAGCCAGCTCTCGGATGTAACGACAGTCCCGCAGTCCGCCTGTCCGCCGGTACCGGGAGGAGAACCTGGGACCCGAGGAGAGAAACCGTGGTCCGGCACCACCGGGTCAAAGTTCATGGACTCGGATTCAAGCAGTGAAAGCAGCGAAGTCAGCGAGACTGACTGCAGGGCTCCGCCAGCCGCTGTTGAGGGAAAATTCAGCCTTGATTCTACTTCCAAGTTCCGTAAGTACACTTAAAGCAGGCACTGTCACCGCAGGGCCTGGTCTCCTGTGGTCACTCAGCAGCTCGGCCCGCTGCACTGGCACGTTCCTGGTCTGTTCGGCCTGGTGGCTTCGAGCAGAATGCTTTGCCCTGATTTAACAGGTCATTTCAAACCTGACCAGCGTCTCCTCCTTTCACTCAGTTCTTAATGCAATGGCTGTAGAAGACTACCGCAAAAACCACTGGCCAAACCTGGAGAAGGCAATTGACCGTCTGCTGATCCAGAACCCCACAGACCACATCTCTGTTTCTTATGCACAGATCTACAGGTAAACACACACACCTGAGCTGGGCAACATTTTCCTACAGTATGTGATTTCTTTTGCCTCGAGGAACCCCCATAAAGTGGCCACGAGCATCACTGGTAGTTTGAGTTGAACTGAACTGCTGGGTTTGTTTTACCGGTCTGAGTTTCTCCTTTTGTTTTGTTTTTCCTAGTTACGTCTACAAGTGTGTTTGTCAGCAGCACTCTGAGCTGCTCTACAATGATTTGACATTGAAAATAACAAATCATCTACAACAGGTTTCCACTCATCTACAAGTAAGAGAATCCAAATACAAGGGACGTATTATATACAGCACACACAGAAACTAAGATGTTGACTGAAACTTTGGTTATTGTTTTCCAGGCCAGCCCACCTGAGGACTTCATTGAGAACTTCAATGTTGCGCTGACGCAATACACAGCTTCTCTTCAATGTATAGTTCCTGTATTTATGTACTTGGTAGGCATCTTTTGTTTCTCCGTCTTATACCTGTTGTAAAGGCGACATAGACCGTGGACTATTAAGTGAAGTTTAACCCTGCGCTACGGTATCACTCTTCCTCTCAATTGTTTTTCGTGTTCATCGTTTTCAGAACAAGTTCTACATCGAGTCCAAGCTGAACAGAGACCTGAGAGAGGATCTGATGAAGCTGTTTGCCGATCACGTCGCAGAAATACACGTGAACACACTGATGCGTGAGTGTATTGCTTCATTTGAAGCCCTGATGGACCATCATGACATTGGAAAAATTGTTCCTCCTCGTGTGAACTAGATCAAAGGGCCGATGTTTGTCTCAGCCTGTTGTGCTGTCGTCTCTGATGCTGGAAAGCACAGGAGTTTTTTGGTTCAGGATTTAGGAACGATGCACCTGCAGAAGACTTCATTCCTTCCCTCCCTTCTTTTCTTGTTTCAGCTCTCCTCCTCAAGGCACATTCCATGCCGTTTCAAGTGCAGCCATCTACAATGGCCAGTGTGGTTAAAGGCCTCCACAGCCTCCGACCAGGTGAGCCGTGGTCATCGCCACCGAGTATTGTATCGTCCGTTTTAATGTCATTTAAGTGCGTCTCTGCAAGCTAATGTTGTCTTTTTGTCTCCAAACAAAACCGACCGTATAGGTTTATTTCCTCCACTTCACTGCGCATGTCCCTCTCTTTCAGACTGGGCCCTGTTGGCCCCGGCTCTCTTCTCTGGGTTTATCCCCCAAATAAACCCTCCTGCTGTGGAGTCTCTGCTGCCCGACTACGCCGCTCATGACCAGAAGTTACAGCTGGAGCTCTCCATGAACGGATTTCCTCGGTCTGTTTTTTCCCCGAAGCATCGGTCTCGGGCACAGTCTCACAGTCTGAATACAGACACGGCTTTTGATCAAGCCCTTCACTTTTAAATCACTGACGCGATGTTTTTTTTGTCTTCCAGAGGTGACCAGTCTCGCAAAAGGGCCAGCGATGACTCCTGATAGCAGAGTCCCCAGATTCGTCCCCAGAACTATTACTGTGCCTCCTACATCTTTATCACGAGTTGGCTCACTGGACTAGCTACAATGTTGACAACATGTGTCAGTTTCATCTCTCGACTCAAGGTTACAAAACACTGTGAACAACAACACAAAAAAAAGAGAACATGATGTTGAGTTGTGTAGCAGAAGCTTAATCTTACTGCACTGAAACAAAACAAAAAAAGCACACAGACTTCCATGGTGGTGCTGTTCCTCTGAGATGGGTGTCTTCATGTTCTCCTCATTTGAAGAGTGCCTTCACGGTGCCTTCTGATCGGATATCCTACCGATGGATACGCCGATGATGGGTATTTCATTCCTAACCTTTAACATGGAAGTGTCTTTTTGATATACTGGGCTAATTGAGACTTTCTATTGCTGCTAATGATACTGTCCGTGTGATAATACTACAACTCCCTCAGTTTTCACCCACTGTGTCTGTAACCCAGTGGCGTCACTCGACTCCAATGAGCGGGAGGAGACCCGAGAACGCGGGGAGCTAAGTCGCCGACCTCGGCTATGATTCTCTTCTTCATGTTGCCTTTACTGTGTTGGTAAACCGGATTGTATTTTCCTGTTACGCCAAAGAGGATTTGCAATTTTTCTTCAATATATATATATATATATAATGCATTGGATCCATGCTGGCATTGTTTAATGTTGCATACCGGCTGAGCCACTGAGCCATTTCGTTATTATTTTATTTTTAAACTAGCAAGTTTTGAGCTGACCTGTTTTGTTTTGTTTGTTTCTTCGACTTGAATCAAATTCTAACTTTAGATATCAGCCTTGCATGTAGGACATTACACTGTTTGCCAGACAGCTTAAACAACCACAGAGTGGTGTTTGACAATTTCAAAATTTTACTTCAGTTTGTTTGACAACTTGCCTAAAGCGTCCCTAAACTGTAAATATATCAAATGATGCTTGGATGCATGGAGTTTACAGAATTAATGATATGCAAATATTGTCTGGCGTGCTTGTGCATTAAACGTTCCTCACATGTCTGGCCTTGTTCAGGATGTAGATAGTTTTTGGTCTCTGCATAGTGGTCAGTTTTTGTTAAATGATTCACTTGAATAGAAGTATTTGATACAAAGGTCTTACACTGTTTTAAGTGTAAATAGACGCTCAGGCTTGCTTTTCGTTTTCCGTCTGTGGGTTTTTTGGAAATGGTTCTCATTGTCTTTCAAATAAGCTCATTTCATTCATCATGGGTATACACGGAGGTGGTTTTGTTTCTCACTATTCAATATTTTAAATCTGGGTCTTAACAAATGTTCTCCTGAATAAGAAGGCATTTTGATAAACGGTAGAAGAAAGTCCGACTCGTTGCAGATGCCAAACGTTGTTGTTGATGTACTGTGTTACTTTCTCTCTAACAAGCTGCAACAAATGTCCATGTTGAAACAACTGAACTGTGAATAAACTTCCACTTGGCTCAAATTCATTTCCTTTATGCAACATCGGTGCTTTAAAAAAAAACTGGTCTGTTCCTGTGACTCTGCTGCATTAGTGTCTGGCAGGCTCAACAAGGGGCTTCTAATTGTGTAGGATGGAGGTCTGTGACGGACCACTGGAGGAAGGAGGAATCCCTTTACAGCATGACACCCCCCCCCCCCCCCTTGGCCAATGAGCTGGGACGCCACCCAGACACATGGGCCAGGCCTCCCCAAAATAACCTGCGACTACTGCACTGACAAATGTTGCTACTTGTACTGGTGACAGGTTACCCCTAGCTGCTCTCGGCTTCATACTTTCCCGTAAACTCCAAGGTGAACTCTGTGTGTTGAAGCCGGGGAGGCTGGGCAGCTGCCTGTGTCCAAGATTTCCCTCAGAAGACCAGAATCACAGGTGCACTCTGAGGATTTACCAGTCCTTCACAGGGGCCAGCTGGGGTTCATTCTGAAGGTAAAACACACCACCCCCTAATGTAATTGTTCAGTGTGCTGTGGACTGTCCTCTGGCATCAGCCTCATATGCCGTGTTTAGACTCGGAACATCTCTGACATTGAGCCTCAGACAGGCTCGAGCTTACTTCTGTTTGAACGTTAAATTGAATTATCTTAACCTGCCTGGATGTGTGCTGCTGTGTTTAGCCAGGGGCCCCGTTTTATCTGCGTGGGCTGTGACGGTGTGTCAGCTCACTCAGCAGTGTCCCATTTATGATCATTATAGTTCCGTTTGTGTCATCTGATCAGCGATTGTTGTGGCTGATCGAAAATCACGGTAACAAGGGCTCGCGGGATGCAGGGGCTACTGCTTTTTTTGTGTGTGTTGATTTTCTTGGTGTAAACTGACCCCTCGCTATTATTAGATATGACTCGGTGGGCTTGGAGCCTGTTTGCAAAGGATTAATGTACACAACAGCTGCAGCTTCGGGTCCGTTGGAAGGGCATCACTGCCTCTCCTAATTGCGCTGATTTGAGTGTCAGTAGCATATGTGTGCCCTATCTCGTGTCTGTATTCAATAACTTGCTCATGCCTAGTGTCAAAGAGTTGTGCAAAGACTAAACATCACATAAGTGTTGGCCTGAGGTGGAAGCCTGCCTGTATCCCTCCAGTTCTGGTTTCAGTGCATGAACCTGATACCCTGTCGAGCCGAGAGGAAGGCTGAAATTAGGCTAAAATAAAAAACTATTTTTACCACATATCCCCCGCTTTCAACTGCTATTGACTGCAACTTGTGTATACTTTACATTACAGCTTATTAGGGCTTCCACTTACAATTAAACTGCAAATTAGTTTCTCAATCTGAAAAACGGATTAATCGTTTGTTATATAACATAAGAGAACATAAGAGAAAGAGCCCCAAGTGGACGTCTTGCTTGTTTGCTTTATGGTCTGATAAACAGTCCAAACCACACAGATTGTAGTTTCCTATCAAAGCAATTAAATAAAAGCTGCACATTTAAGAAGGTGGAATTTTTTCAGTGCAGTCTGAACATTAACTTGCAGACATCCATCCATCCATCACGGTGAACAGTCAATTCACTTTATTTTTCACTAATGTGTTGGAAAATGAGTATTTTGTATTTTTCCACACAAATTGGGAAGTGAATTGTGTGTTGAATGTTATTGAATATCTTTTCATTATTTCCAAAGCATGCAGGAGAACAACATTGACCAGCCACCGTCGCTGTCTCAGGTCTTAAGAGAGAGCTACCTGGCGGAGGCCAGAGCCCAGCAGCGCCACAGCGAGATGAGCCGCTCGGACGCTTCCTCCTCACACCTTCAGATCTACGCGTCACTCAAAGGCAAGGCCGAGGACTCTGTGGGCCACAATGATCCCCAATTCCCTGACCTCTCGGCCTTCCTCAGCCAAGAGGAGCTGGATAAGAGTGTGAACCTGGCCCGCCAGGCCATCGGACATGAGCCTCAGGAGGAGAGGGCAGAGGTCAAGGCCTCTGTCCCGCCATTAACCCCCTCCAACATCTCCTCAGCCTCTTCCTCTGAACCCCCATCTGTTGCGAGCTCCTCTCCTGCCCCCTCCGCTGTGCCCTTTACCAAGCCAGCCTCTGAACTCAAAGAACTGCCAGCAACACACACAACATTCACATCAGACAGAAAGATGCACAAAGCGTCCGCACGGCAGGAAAACATGATCCGGAACACGAGGGACACCGGTGAGGGATTCAACGAGTTTGACAGTGCGGGGAGGAACGCCCCGTATGGTCCGGAGAACCAGTCCAAGAAAGAGTTCCTCAACAAGGCAGCGGACTTCATTGAGGAGCTCTCCTCGCTCTTCAAGGCCAACAGCTCCAAACGGGTACGACCGAAATCGTCCAAATCCCACAGGAGTAGGAACCAGAACAAGAGCCAGAACGATGAGACAGTTTATCCCCTCGGCCCAGACAACAGGGAGCGCTCTGTCGTGCCCGTGGAGGTGGAGAAGGAGAGAGCCAGCCCTGCTGTTAGCCACCAACCAGAGGCCCAGCTGGACTCTGGGATTGGGCATGTGGACTTTCAGGACAGGAGGATTACTGAGGAGCCGCAGTACGACCATGTTTCCCAGGAGGTGGAGCAGGAGGCTGAAAACTGTGCCCTGACGGAAAGTCCATACCCAGTGGAGGCACCGTGTGAGCCTCCTTTCTTCATCCAGAAACTGAAAAGCAGGGAGGTTCCCGAGGGCAGCAAGGTCCAATTGGACTGCATTGTTAGAGGACTCCCTGTGCCTGAAGTCCGGTAAGGCAAACAATTGCTGATATTGGTTTATTTCTCTGTTTTAAGAAGATACAGTAAGACTTTCTGCTTCCATTGCTTTTTCACAATGAGTCTCACTGAAAAGGGTCAGTGGAGATTTTGCAGTGTACATGAGGATCTGGATCCTTTTAAAAAACCTTTTTGTCTGGAGAAGATGTTACAAGAGTTTAGGGTAAGGTGTCACGATATTTTTTATAGTTTCACTCAGTAATTTACTCAAGTACTGTACTGTAGTATAAATTTAGGGGATTTGTACTTTGCCAAAATATTTCCTTTATATGCTTTGTTGTAGAAATAATGCACTTTTTACTCCACTGCATGTATGGCTTTAATTACTAGTTACTTTAGTGATGAACTTTTTGCATACAAAACTATATCATGCATGTTCATAGATGTAACAGCCCAACAGTAGGTTTATAAAAAGTGAACTAACTGGACTTAACTTCAACAGGAAATACATTGATGGATATCTAAATGGGTATCAGTCAGACTCTAGTGTCTACATTGTGTTAAAGATGGAGTCATGTCTGTGTCCTTAATAATGTTAAATAATTATTAGCGTTTTGAGAAGTGTGAGTTGAGATGAATGATGTTTCTTTCTCGGGGGAGAAGCAGACAGAATTGAGGTGTGATGATAGCCAACAGCTGATCCTGAATGGTGTGTGTGTGTGTGTGTGTGTGTGTGTGTGTGTGTGTGTGTGTGTG